TTAACACGACCTAACACCATTTTCACATATGAATAGTCAATATGGGTATCATATGAAAAGCCTTGGAACGGAGATGAACATGGTCACCATCCGGATCCATCACGGTCGTGTTAACACGACTTAACACTGTTTTAGTCGATATGAACATAAAATGAAAGATTTTGGAACGAAGATAAATATGGATGCCGTTTCGGTTCATCTGTTTTGGAATAACATCAAATCTAATGTCTCTACATTTCATGTAGTGCTTCGAATGGTGATGAACATAAAAAATGCGGACGAACAAGTCCAGGTTACGTATGTAATCAAATGTTTTATGTTTTCACAGTATTACATGTAGATGAACATGGACACCATCTCGGTCCATCATGGTCATATTAACACGATCTAACACCATTTTCACATATATTTATCAATATCGGTATCAAATGAAAGGCCTGGGAACGGAGATGAACATGGACACCATCTCGGCACATCGTGGTCATGTTAACACGAAAATGGTCAATATCATATGAATGGCCGTTCCTTTAAATTTATCATCATAGTATTCGTTTTACTGCTCTATGATTTTGTTGTCAATTTAATTTCATTTGTCAACTTATTTGACGTTGTTATCACTTCAACTTAATTTTTTAATTCATTCTGCGTTAATAATAATAATTAATTGAAAATGCCTTCAAAAAAAGGTATATATTGGGAAAAAAACATCTAATACAAGAAAGTTAAAAATTATCAGAGAAAGAGAAACACCATATGACCGTGAAAATCGTCAAAACACCAATCGTTTGCAAAAACGAGAATCGAGAGGAGCTGAAAGTGTAGATGTTCGTGAAATAAGACGTGAAGCGGACCGTTTACAAAAACCAAGTAAAAAAAAGAATATATTTCATCCAGAAAAAAAATTTCTTGAACAGAAGTTGAACAATTTTTTTCTGAAATGGAAAGAAATCGAACGATTTTGATGAAGAAAATTTTATTTTCCGTATTTAAGCGCTGTAAATTATTGTGTTTAGTAAAAAATGTTCCGCTGAACTAAACCAGGAAAAAAAAGAATAAATTTCGTGCAGAATTTTTTTTTTCTTGAACATAAGTTTATCAATTTTTTTCGGAAATGGACCGATTTTGAAGAAGTTTGTTTTGTTCTTCATATTTAAGCGCTGTAAATGGTTTTATTTAATTGGAAATGTGCCGCTTAACTAAACCAAGCAAAAAAGAATAAATTTCTGCAGGACGTTGTTGTACAATATTGATCAACAGAACCATGTGCTATTTTCAACATGGAAATGTTAGAAGGAAAAAAAGATGTTGTTCATATCATTCTATGAATCATCAACCCAAAACATGAATTATACACAAATAACCAAAATATTTCATACAAGCGAATTCAAAAAAAACCATCCAAATGATTTACGTTTATTATAAATCGGTTCATTATTTTAACAATAAAAAATTCTACCATTTATATCGGCATAAAATAAGCAAAATGTATGTAGAGACAACGCTTCATTTAAATTGCTTACAATCAGGACAACAGTTTTCGCTAAAGGAAACGTGTCTCGATTATTTCGAGACCTACATGAAATAATCGCCAACACGATACAATTTCTCCATCCCATTGAGCTCGCTCACAGCTTCGGTTGTACTTAGCGAAATTTTGACCGGTAAATTCTTTGAAGTCACCTGAAAAAAAAATCAACATAACCAAAGAACATAAATTAATAAGTAAAAATACCAAAGCAAATGAAAAATATACACTTAAAAAAAAATTAAAAATATTACTTACGTTGTATGTCCTCCACTTTTGCACCACCTTTATAAAAGTTTAAAAGGCTAATGACCACCTTATTTTTTTCATTTTTATCCATCTTTCACAAAATTTTTCAAACAAATTGACAAAGAAAAAAACCTCTGAAGACTGATCGATTCAATTAAAGTTCGACAAGGAATGTGACAAACATTGAAAAATGAAGAGCATTTATAGTAAAATTCAAATAAATAAACGTGAATCACAACAATTGAATTTACTATTGCATATCGTATAATTATGCATTCCATTGGATAATATGAGAATGTTGACATTGGATCGAATGAAATGTAATCATAAACAATTTTAAATAAAGCAAAGAGAAAAAAAATTAAAGACAAAACAACACATATTCGGAACGCACATTTTTATTGATAACTGAAATGATATAACTCAAACAACGGACTATAACTGACCTAGATCAAAAAATACATTTCATAAATTGTTAGGGAATGAATGTAAATAAAAAAGCGTAGCGAAGCACGCAGGGAACAGCTAGTCAATGAATATATCCGTAACTTTCTTTTTTTATGCTCTTTTCAAGTCGTTCGAAATGCAGTATGCATCGTCGAAGGATGAGTCATCAGTGACAGCCTCAGCGCTA